AAGCATTAGGAAATGATAACACATGGCTGACATCCTTTAACCCTACTAGGACAGGTAGCACTAGTATGAGGTTATAGTATCTATTTTAGGATGAATTATTAGCTATCAGCTGAGAAGGAATACCTTTTACAGCTGCCAGCCTGAATAACCACTCTACTGTGTAAGTATTCATATGGAGATTCTGAAACAAACCAGAATTCCTCGTGAAGGCCATTAATTCCTGCTACTTGTCTGATTTGAAGGCATTACCTTAAAAATGCACTTGTTTCTCCCCATTACATCAGCTGGCTAGGACATGGTGCTAATAACACCAAGGTTGTGGGTTTGATCCCTGTATGGGCCGTTCACTTAAAAACTGGACTTGATGGCCCCTGTGGGTCCCTCCCAACACAGAATATTCTGTGACTCTGTAATTAATCCTGATGTAATTAAATATGTTCTTAGTGATTCCAAATCTCAAAGTGAAGCTCTCCTCCTCTGGGGGAGAAAAACCTCTATGATCTTCATGCCTGCAGTGTAGGTGTTGGTATACTAAATAGCTAAAATTCACTGAACACCACTGAACTGCAGCCCACCGGAGCAGCCTCTGATTAGCAAGATCCTCCATCTGGTGCCCAGCTCCAGCAGCTGGGCTTCCTGGGAGCGAGCTGAACTCAACACATGCTGCCTTATCCTTCTGGTGACAATATGTAACAAACAATCAAAGCCCACTCCTTTCAGAGAAGTGCTGTTCTCAGGAGGGCTACTGATCTTTGACCAGATGGACAGTCTACTCATGACAAAACCTGTCCAAAATACAATTCCACATTGTTTTCCAAAGCATAAAGAATTTGTGTTTAGGCAGGAAGAAATAACATAAAGAGCAAAAAAAAATTATATATATGCAGTATTTAACAGCAAATCTTTTGTGCGTGTAAAAATCATTGTCATATTTTTCACGTATGCTTTTCAGAAGTGCAATTCAATACTGGAAAGGATGGAAACATCAGAAGCTGGGGATATGCCTCAGTATCTTTAGGGCAAATTCACAAAGGAAAGAGAACACAGTATAAAAAAATAACAGGTACTGTCTGGTCAGACGCCAGAGTAAAAAAAAAGAGAGCAGAAACTGGGTCAAAGAGAAAGGAAGGGGAAGTGCATGCACACTGCCCTGACTGACACAGTCACTTGATGTTTTTCTTCACTCTTACTACTGTACCAGTGTGAATGGTCTGAGAGAACATGTGAAAAAGGAATAATGCTTGAAGGTTTACTTGATTTTCAGTTGATGAATGCACAGAGTTTATAATGGCCACTGCTCTCACATATAAAATTAAGACTGCTTGCAAGTCATGCATTAAATTTTGTCAGCTAATTTGTTAATACCAGCACAAGATTAAAACAAGAAGTAATGTAAGGTCATTACATCATACAAAGTGGGTTCAAGAGGAATAAATTCTGTTCTAATCAGTTATGCAGTTCATGATTTTGGAGCACTGCCTGTACCAAGTAACTTGGTTTCTTTCAAAGCTGAGTTTTGCTTCAAAATATAAACAGAATCTACTTGAAAATACAGTAATATACCAGTGTCAGAGACACAGTGGAATAACAGTCTGGTAGAGAGGGGGTCTTGAGAATCTGCAGCAGGCATCAAAATCTTCATTCATTCAATTCCATGGTACAAACATTCCTGTTTGACAGCAAACTGCAAAATTCAAACCAACCAAAATTATATATATCCTGCAAAGTACACGGCTCAAAAACATCCCTTTGAACTGACTATTAAGGTGAAACGTCCAAAAGCCCAAATCAAACACAAATGAAATCCTTTGAACACTGAGTGGCCAACTCACAGACAAGCTGTTTTGTCTAGAGAAACATGAGTGAAAAGCACAAGATAAGAGCAAAATAAGTCTATCTCGCTGCTTTGTTATTGTACATTACATTTTGTTGTTGCTGACAATATAAAGTGCTTATGGATAGCCCTTTGGGATGAAAGTGGATCAGAAATGCATAGCAGAAAGAAAACATCTCGAGGACAAGCCATATATAAACTGTCACAGATTTAATAATATGAACCCCATGAAGCAACAACATTTCTATTCTGCCCTGAAATAACAGAACAAAGACAGCAGTCCTATCCACCATTCTCACTAACACATCCAACTCAATTTAAGGATGCTCTGTTGGCAGGGTAACACAGTGGTGCTTGCTCATCTGGATGCTGCAGAGAAATCCAAAAAGCAAAAAGTATCTAAGATATTGGCAGGATTGACATAAGATAAGAGGTTGCAAAAAACTAGAATCCAATGGCAATGAAAATTAGGACTATGGTTTCAAACACTTGGGCAATTTAGTCAGAAAAAGACTGAAAGTTTTGAGCTATTCAAGGAGAATCACAGGATCATAGACAGGTTTGGGTTGGAAGGGATCTTAAAAGACCACGTAGTTCGAGCCCCACTGCCATGGGCAGGACATTTTCTACTAGGCCATGTTGTTTTAAGCCCCATCGAGGCTAGACTTGAACACCACCACAACCTCTCTGGGGAAAAATCCTTGGTAAGAAAACACCTTAGTAAAGAGCAACTGATCCCTTATGCTTGCCTCAAGCACAGTCCTGTCACAAGGGCAGTCAGTCCAAGAGTGATACACTGACAACAAGTAAAAGGCAAATACTGCCATGTCTACCAGACTGTCAACCTTTGGAACTCCTGTCAGAGTTCAGAGGGATGGCACATTGAGGGTAAGATAACAGCGATTATCTAAGAGCATGGGAACCCTTACTGTTTAAATGCACTCTCTGAAATCTGCAGGCCTGTGGGCCCTGAGGCAGGGCAGGAGCATTATGTAAGTGATGTGCAGGAGAAAGGACAGGGCAGAAGGGCTGTCCAAACTTTTCTGACTTAAGGAAGTCCCACCCAGGAAAGCTAAACCCAAGCTCTTCAAGTGCATTTAAGTGTCCAGCTCAGCTGAAAACTGTACAGTTGCAACTCCACCTACTCTGGGGTAGGCACTCAAAACTTTTGAGAACAGATACCGTATTTACTAGTTCTGTTGCTGATATTCAGGGTTAAGAATCCAATTGAAGCTGCCCACGTCACACTCGCTCCCTAGCAAAAACAGTGAGCAAAAATGATGTTCCAAATTCTCTTGGTTCTGAAAAAGGCGGCATCAAAGTGGACCGAGCTAATATTTAGTATTTACAACAGTTGTCACTTCCCCATAGCAAAGCTAAGCAGACCACATCTTATTACTACAGGGAGAATGAAACAACTTAAAGGCGCATACAGCCACCAAAATGGTTAAAATTTTTTATTTCACAGTTCTGTCTTTGTATTAGTAGGTCAAACTTAAAAATAAACATTCCTAGTATCTTCCTACTTTTGCAATTCCGTGTTTCATTCCTAGTATCTGTCACAATCCTGTAAATGCAACAGTGCAGTATTTATCAGGAGATCTACCACAGTGGTGGTAGCAGGATGAGGCAATTCTAAAAGGGACACCAGAGTTGAGCAAGGACAAACAGCATGTTTTTGGATAGCACTCACTTGCAAAATGATGGTATCAATGTATTTCTGTATTTTCGTTTGGGTTTTTTTAATCAAAAACAGCACCTAGTCCCTACTATCTCTATTCTTCTCCTGTTCCATTCAGCTCATTTGTTTTTCCTATTTTTTACTGGATCTCAATTAAATGCACTTCTTTGTGTTTATTTTTGCACACATCAATAATGTAAACACTCTCCTAATAATAATCTCTACTACATCTCTCAAACTGGTAGACCTGAAAGAATATTCTCCTCCACTCCTGCATCTCTCAGTCATCCACTCTTATTTCTGTTATTCAAAATGTGGCACAGCTTACCACAACAAACTTTCTTTAGTCAGGCAGACGCTAATTTCTGTTTCCTCTCTAATGAAAGCACTGTCTATTGAAGGCATTGAAGTGGTCTGAATGTTTTCAAAGTAAAACATTTCATCGTTATTTAAAACGTTTCCTTCCATATGCCACTACACCATTAAAAAAGAAAACTAGGAACCTGTAATTAATGAATACATGCTTAACTTTTAAACACGAATACTCCTGCAGAACTACAGGCTCATAAAAAGACAGGCATATGCTCAAGTGCAGCATCGAAGCATACATTAATGTACAAAGGCTGCCCCTCAGATGAGGCAGGATTTGGCATGCAGGCTCTTATTTCAATTATTTGGACTTGGCCTGCAAGCTCTTTTTTCAACCATTTGAACATTTTCTTCAACACTTTCCACCTTCACGTCAGTATTTCCCTACCGATTTTTATCACCTCTTTACACTCAAGTCTCCTGGGTGTGCTGTTTCACTGGAGAGGCTCTGAAAGGCAGGGAATTACTACCAAGACCCCGCCTCATTGAAAAGTAAAAAATAAATGGTGTGGCCAGGCAGTGCGGAACGCGGCCTTTAGCAATGGCAGCTCGCGAACAGGCCCCGTTTCCTCTGCCCAGTCAGGAAACCTCGCTGCACCCACAGCCCCGACAAGCCTGACCCCCACGCACAATGACAGCATAAACCAGGGATGGAAAGGGTCGCTTCCAAACTGACAACATCCCGCTAAAGCACCGCTGACGGCGACTGTTTACTGGTCACGACGAGATGGAAATGCTGGGGAGTTTCCTGATTGTTCTCCTTTATTGTTTGTCTCGCTGGAAGAGCCGGGCAGCGGCCGGGTGAGGGCCGGGCAGGGCTGCCCTCAGGCCCGGCGGTGACAGCCGGAGGCTGCGCCGGGGCCGCCCGGGCTGCAGCCGCTCCCTCCTCCCCCGGCACCCGCGGCTCTCCAGGGCCGCGCTGGGGCGGTTCGTTCCCTTCCCGTGCTCCCTCCGGGGCCCAGCTCGGCCTCCGCCTCCCCGGCCCGCGGAGAGCCGAGCCGGGAGCGGATGCTCGCTCTGCGGGGGACAGCGGGGAAGGGGCGCCCAGGCGGAGCCCCCGGTCCGCGCTCGGCGCTAGGCCCGGATCGCATCCCCGGCGCGGCGCGGCCGGGCCCGCCGGCGGCCTTACCGCCTCCACGGCGTGCTGCAGGATGGAGGTGAACTTGGAGAACATCCTGTCCCGCGACTGCAGCAGCCGCTGCCGGGAGGACCTCGAGAGCTCCTCGATCCGCCGCCGCCGCCGCTCCAGGGTGAGGGCTGCATGCGGGGGCCTGGCCGCGGGGATCGGGCGGGCGGGCGCCGGCGCTGCCTCTCGCTCCCCGGCGGACACCGTGGCACTGACACCGCCGGCTGCGCGGCGGCGGCTGCCGAGGCTGCGGCTGTCCTGCAGGGGCCGCCACCCCCGCCCGGCCCGGCTCGGCTCTGCCCGCCCCGCTCCGCTCCGCTCCGCCCGGCCCCGGGCGCTACCGGCCGGGAGCGCCGCGTTCCGTTCCGGCCCGGGGCGGGACAGGGCAGTGCGCGACCCTGGCGGGCTGTGGGCGGGCCGCTGCTGGGCCCTGAGCCAGCCCCGCTTCTGAGGGCAGCGCCGGGCTGGGAGATGGGTCACAGTCACTTAGACTGGGGAGACCTCTGAGTTCATCGAGTCCAACCTTCGACCTTACACCGCCATGTCAACCAGACCATGACACTGAGTGCCATGTCCAGTTTCTCCTTAAACACCTCCAGGATGCTGACTCCACCACCTCTCTGGGCAGTCCATTCCCATGTCTAATCACCCTCTGTGTGAAGAAATTCTTCCTAATGGCTAACACAAACCTCCCCTGTCACTGCTTAAAACTGTGTCCTCTTCTGCCACTGGTCACCTGGGAGCAGAATCTGATCCCCACCTGGCTACAGCCTTCTGCCAGGGAACTAGAGGGATGATAGAGGTCCTCCATGAACCTCCTTTTCTCCAGGCTAAACAGCCCCCATGCCCTCTGCCACTCCACACAGGACACATGCTCCAGACCCTTCCCCAGTTTCTTTGCCCCTCCCTGGACTAATTCCAGTGCCTCAATGTCCTTCCTTAATTGAGGGGCCGAGAACTCCACACAGCACTTGAGGTGTGGCCTCAGTAGTACTCAGTGCAGAAGGACAACAACTTCCCTGGTCCTGCTGGCCACTGTTTCTGAGACGGGCCAGGATGGTATTGGTCTTCTTGCCCACCTGGGCACACACTGTCTCGGGTGAGAGGAAGGGATGCCCACCTCCACAGTCCTGTGCTGGAGGCTGCCATCAGACTTCCACCAAGGCTTCTGGGGTCCCTCAGAATCATGAGGGTGGGGAACTGGGCTGCCTCCACCTTCCTCCTGGCATGGCATGGATACGGAACAACCCTGGCATGTGTGGCGAAAGGCCCAGCTTGCTCTCTGCTGAGACATTTTGGGTCTGCCATCATCCACAGGGACGATGACATCCTCAAGGAAGTAACTCTTCACAAAGCAGTGTAAGGGTGATGAGCTCAGAAAGTCAGTTGTGGATTCCACAAGTTGTGGGATCACCATCCCTGAAGGTGTGCAAAAAATGAGTGGACGTGGCACTTAGTGATATGGTTCAGTGGGAACGGTGGCATTAGGTCAAAGCTTGGACTTGACAATCTGAGAGGTCTTTTCCAAACATAAATGATCCTGTCTTGTTGCTGCTGGATGAGAGGCTGATGGTGTGGGTGGCATGATCCTTGCAGGGTACCGCAGATGAGAGGGCTTGTGGCAATGTGCACATTGCTCATTTCACTGTTTGTTGGATTTTTTCCTACACAGAGAAAAGGAGACAGAAGAGAGCTTTATTTCACCTCTGAATCAAATACTTCAGAGAAAAAGACCATCCCTCCCATTTTGCGGTGCTACAGGAAAAGCAGAGGTAAAGTGGAGTGAGCAGAAGTTATAGCTGGCAAGCAATTTGATATTTTGGGAAAATGTTTGGACACTGGGAAAATTGACATAGGAAAGAAGGATGGCTTTGGCACTGGGTAGCAGAGTGAAATGTTAGGAACATGATAGACCAGTATGGGAAACGGAGGGACCCTGTTGTACCAAAGAAGGGAAGCTTCCACGTTCATTTTTGGAGAGGAATCGACACCAGCTTCCTCGTATACTAGGATCATGCAGAGAGACATGAATCAAAAGACCAGACAAAACTACTATTTAACTGCTGTTCTTGAAATTGTGTCATCTGGGAAGTTTATAACAATGTTGTGATGAAGTCTTACTAATGATTCTGCTGTACTGATTGCTATTGCTATACCCCTGTGCTTTGCAGGCATGGAGAGCTACACCCCAAAAACTCCATGGAAGTAAATACTAGTTGTATGTATGAACCTTTGTTGCAGTTGTTAAAGAGCAGAGCTATTTCCTTCTCAAATCCAGGAGTCCCAATATGTCAATATCAATTTAAAAGGTAATTATGTTGGGTTTTTTTAAATCTGCTTTTTCTCTATTTGTCAACTTATATTCTATAGATGTTCACTAGGAAATGTCAATTTTCTGTGTGGGTAGCCATATGATGAAACATTTCTGTGTTTAGGTGATTATTAACTGGACAGGTGATGCATTTGGAAGGTGTCTGCATATCTGTGTCCAAGAGAATGTGGTCATTTAAGATGCTTTTGCAATCTGTTTTTTTTTCTGCAAAAATGTCTTTTAAATGTGCTTGGGCTGTCTCATCTCCAAGCAGCAGAATGAATAAAGAAACAGTAAGATATCATAAAGATATAAAAGGAGACAGTTTTATCACTGTGAGAGTATTCCTAATCGTACTTAACAATTTATGAAATCATAAATCACAGAATCACAGATGGTGAGGTAAAACTTTATAATGCTTGAGGGCCTCTTATTATTCTAAGAGTGACTAATGTGTATAAACGCATTATTATTTAAACAGAACAGTTCATTATGGTTGAAATTAAGATTTTAGTTGTAAAAGTGACTTCTTATTGAGATTTCTCGATGTGAAATGCCTTGCAGTAAAGGAAAAAAAGAAAGAAAATATTACATGTAAATTATTTTTCCTAAGCCTATTAAACAAACTGCATCTCTGCATTTAACCCTGCATTTACCAACCAGTAGATCTGGCTTAAATTTGTAGCCACAGTGCAGAATTCAGTCTTTGGTGCTTATATGTCTTGCAAATTGTAGAGTTTTGTTTTTTTTTTTTTAAATGATCTTTTAAAGTAGTCTCTTATTTCTCAACCATATATGTATGTATTTCTCTCTGCTGGGAATAGTGGATAAATACTGGCAAGCCAATAGTAATGAAATCACTGGAAAGTAATGGAAGAATGGTTTCACCAGTGTCAGTGCAGAAGAACTCAGGTGAGGTTACATTTTGTTTGGATTCTTCTTGTTCTCATGTGGGATGATTCAATTGGAGATGCTGCAGTTATGGATGGGCTACCAATGTCATGTCATGTGCAACAATACAACTTCACCTGCTCATGCTTGATGTTATTTCCACTGAAATAAACACAAGTGTGACTACCTATTTTAGTACCCTTGAGAGCACAGTTCAGCTGGCTTGGGGTTGGTTTTTTTTTGGCTTTTTTTGGCAAGGTAGTTCTTTTTTTTGGAAAAGTACATGCAGTGATTTAGTGTTTTGCTTGAATGTGAGAAGTGAAAGTGTGAAACTGAGGCTGTTCTAATTGATAGAGCTTTTGGGAACTTTCCCCTTTCTTACAAATTAATGAAATTGTCTAGATTAAATCAATTTAGATGGTGTGTGACTGAGATAATGTGCTGGCCTTTTTATCTGAAAATCTCTCTGCTATTTGGATTGATGGCACCAGGCCAATGTCTAATGGATGCATTTGTCTACATTACAGAAGAAGCTCCTGCAGTCTGGACTTTTGCTTCAGAGAGCCTGAAGATTTGGTGAATTTTTTTACCCTAGATGAAAATGTTCCTCTTAGTGCTAAGCCAAATATCTGTTGATATTCTGTGCAAGATTTTATTGTGTTTGTAATAATCAGATTGACATCTATGTTTTTAGTGACTACTTGGATGAAATAAAGAATGAAGTTCTGGTGGTTCAGCATGATCTCTGCTTTTGGGTAGGGGTAAGAAGATATTTAACATAGTTTTCAGACCTTTCTGATGCTGGGCTTTACTACAGAATGCAAACATGCTGTGCATCCACACTGAAGAGCAGGCAGGGGAACTGAAGTCATTTTCTGTCATGAATTTTCTGGTTCCGTGCTCTCAGCTGCGTACATCACCTCCCTCCTTGCAGATTCGCCAGCAGCTCCATGTAATCAGCTCATGCAGTATTTCATAAATCCCATTTTCAGGCATTTCCTGGCCTGTGCATTCTGTTCCACATCTGCACATCTGCTCTTTCTGTGGAGACATTAATTTGTCTTCTGCTGGGTTACAAACTTCCCAGTCGTCTGTCTATTGTCTGAATGCTCACCTGCCACATCTGTGAGAGTCTCCTGACACCAGCACTCATTGCTACCATGCAGGACACAACACTGGGCAAATATTGCCTGCCCAGCAGCTATTCCTTGTTTGTGCTTCAGTTACACCCTCTGTACCACCCTGCTAATTTACTTATGTAATGGCTTGTAAAGGAGACCACTAGGAGGTCAGAAGTACATGTTGTTAGTAAAATGAGACATTTCTGATCACATCATGTTTTCCTCTAGTGTTTCTGTTTCACTGGAAACATTAAAACCCAGGCTTTCCTCTATAAGTAAATATATGGATGTTCTGCCATACAGTATCTGCAAGTGCTAGCATATCATAAATCACAGAAAGCAGATAAAATACCCTCAGTTAGAGTTTAGCCAATTTCACTGCAGGCTGGCAGGAGCACAAGGATAGTGGAATGTGGTAGTGGAAGCCAAAGCAAGGAGATTACAGATAAACTACTCAGTTTATGCTATATTGCAACTGTAACGAATGCAAGTGTCTGAATATGGTATAAATAAACATAAAACTGGATTTTGCCATAAAATACTGGGAAAAAAAATTGAATGGTCTACCTGATATAAACTGGTTCCCTTAATCTTTTGTCTGAGTACTTGCAGAGAGGGAAGTCTGGAAGCCAGAATCTGTGTGTTTCTGGGGAGAATTTAGGTGCTTAGCCTTGACCCTACTAAGAGATTTCTGAGTCATTTTCAGATCAGCTCTGACTGCATTGTTTGTTTTCTAAAGCATAATAAGATTTCATTGTTACTTACATTTTTGGATTAAGGAATATAATCTGTTGATCCCTAAAATTTCATCAGATAATCTGCTTAATCATAAGCAAAAGCTGATCTTGATAGTCCATATGAGTTATGCAAATTAAATCAGGCACATTACTACCATGCCAGTATAGAAGCTTTCAGCAGAGCTCTCCTTCTCATTAGTCCAAAATTAAAAGTAGGTTTTTGTCATACTTTAAATTCACATATCTTTATCCTGAGGTATAATTGAAATCTTTCACGGACCCTGACATTAAATGTTGTCACTTTAAAACATCTTAATTTTGAAGCAAGTGCCTGAAATATTTATGACGCACTCGGTAGTGGCTTCGCGATTAATTTTAAATTATTGATGGCACAATTACCTAGGCAGGCTCAAACTCTAGTGCCAGAAGGCGCTCCAGCGTTCACCGTCCGTGGATTTGGATGAGGAATTCCAGCGGTGTCCCGGGGGCAGTCCCAGCTGTGGCCAGCAGAGGGCGCAGCTGCCCGGGCTGCACCTCTGCGGCACACGAGGCTGCGGAGCGGATCCCTCGCGGTGGTTTTTTCGGGAAAAACATCCCTGTGTATCCCGTACAGAAGGAATTGCTTTGCCACCTAGTAATGTCACTCTGGGCTTACCTGCTGTCTATTACTTGGACTGTAAACGCTTTGGTTGCTACGCCTGACAGCCCGTTGTCTTAGCAGTTCCCTTGTCCTGCTTGGCTCCTGGATGGTTATTTGAAGCTACAGGTCTGGTTTGAGTTTGCAAAGACATTGACTAACCCCTGTGGCTCTCAATCCCACCTGATATTTGCGTCATCTTCATCACAACTAAAGATTAACGAATTTAAGAAGGGTCCTCTATTTAAAGACTGGCCCTTCTTGACAACTGAATTCTCCTGTGGTACCCACAGAAGGGAGAGTGTGTGAATATCAACATTGCATTATTTTACCTGTTGGTAGGGGTTGAGAAAGAACCTGAACACTTCCTAACAGAATTTAATGTTCAGAAGCTATACTCTGAGCCAAACTCCATTTCCAGAAAAAGTCTGTACAGCTCAATCCTTTGTAATTTCGTTCTGAGTCATCAGCCCTGTAGGAATGAGCGTCTGTACTTGGATGAAGCCTTCAAGGAACTAAGCTGGAGGCACTCCTGACAATGAGCAAAGAAAATGAAGTCTGTAGGACCCAGCATCATGTAGGAATATTTCTGTTGCTCATCCCTGTTCTCTTGCCTCAGGCTGCTTTGGACTAGTTTGACATTCAGGCCTCATGTTGTGAAATGCTGAAGTAAGCAGACCTGTGTCTGCAATGTAGCTAATATAAAGGAACCTGTTCCTGATTAGATCTTGGAGTGATGCTGTAATACACTGTACTTGATTCCTGCCTGGCAGCTCATGTGCCAAGTGAAGTATTTCCAGGCATTTAGTTTCTCTGGTTTTATGCTCAGAAGCTGATATCCTCTGGGTCTGCCAGGAAGTCCCAGGTGGTATGGATTGAGCTGTTATTTGTACCTGGAGTGCTCGACTGCTGCTTCAGACACCTGCAGTCTGCATTTCCTTCTTCCTCTGCAGCAGCAGCAACCAGGCAGCAGAGAGCCAATTGCTCTATTGGCATTACGTGTACATCATAAATCAAAATTCTGTGTGCAGGTGTCGAAATCCTGTACTCACAATAATCAGTTTCTGTGTGGTGTTGCAAAACAATTTGTCCCAGATCCAGATCCCAGCCCGCAGAGGGCAGCCCGACCCTGTGTTTTACTCCACTGATGTGCTTAACTAGGGAATTCAGTCATCTGCTGGCATCTCTGTCGGCGTGACTTGCTGTGGAATAAACAACTGAATGTGGTGGAGAATTGGCATCAGCTTTAAGCTCAAACAGATTAAAAAAAAAAAAAAAAAGCGTGACTGAATTAAACCTTCTGGGTTTTTTTTAACACATTGAAAGAAAAATATTGCATGAGAAAACTCATCTAGATCTGAGCTTTAAATACATTACATGTATAATAGATAGAGTTATTGGTATATGTCAATAGGCAAGAAAAATAACCCAGAACCTCTGTACATTAAAATATTGGGCAAGACTTACAGGAAAAGTGTTGGGGATTTTTTCAAAATATTTTCAGGAATCTTTCAGGATTTGAGTTTATTGTTGCCATACTCTAGGACTATGGTTTTGGTTGGTTCTTTCCCAAGTGTGTCCTGAGTCCTTGTGAAGCAGGCATCACAATTTCCAGGAGATTTTTGTCTAGGAGGGTGTGTCTACCTGCAGGGATTTGCCTTGGCTATAAAACTGATCAATGCCAGGTCAGGTACCAGGGGCTGATATCTTGACTTAGTATGACAAGGAACAAGGCATTCAGTTCCTGAAAAAGAGCCAGTACTTTGTGCTCTCAAATCAAATTGCTTCCACCAGCTAATTAAGGAGTGATCTTGATACGCTCTGAAGGGAGGCCTGTCCAATTCTATACTTCTCAGCCAGAGGGCCCTGCAACACAGAGCTCAGGACAGAAAAGACGTATAAAGAAAATAGTGTGTGAGAAATTAAGACAGTGATGTGTGAATTCCAGGAGTACAGGGAGAAACCTAAGTATCTCTTATGATCAGACATCAAATTACACACTGAGGTACTTCCGTGATTATTTAGATAATTTATTTTCTTTTGGCCCCAGAATTTCTACCCCACACAAGCCTGGCTTTTCACAGCAGAATGTAATGTATACATTTCTCAGAGTTTGGCTCATTGTAATTGCAACCACAGGTGTATTTTCCCTCTGATTCACCAAAATTTCCTGTGTATAGCAGTGCTGAGAGATTTTGACTCTAACTTATTCAGAATATTCTTTGCTATTCTTGCCATGTTATTCATAACCATCTTTGCTAAAGTGAACTTTGACCAAGGACACGTCTGCCATGTTTTACATGATGTAAAAATTACTCTGTGGAAAAACACAAATTTAACAAATTCTAACTGCATAATTTAATTCAGTTTGGCCACACAAATTCTTTAGGGTAAAGCAGGGCACATGGTGAGATAATGCCCTTACTTGATGCAGCTCTGAAAAGTCTATACATAGCAACAAAGGCAGTTTGTGGGATTGTCTCTGTCTCTGCTGAATGCAAGCACTGGTGCAGGTGCTCCATCACAGAAGGCCTCTTGGTTGGTCAGGCAGGAGCTGCCCTTGGTGAAGCCACCTTGTCTTTCTGAAATCCCCTCCCTGTTCTCCCTGGGCCTTAGCAGAGCTGCTGGGAGGATCTGTTCCCAGACACAGAGGTGAGGCTGATGGCTCAGTGCTCCCCAGGCTCCTCATTTCTAGCCTTTTTAAAAACAGGAGCAATGTTTGCCTTTTTCCAGTCACCAGGGACTTCACTTGGCTTCCATGACTTTTCCAAGATCATGGAGAGTGGCCTGGCAACTACATCAGCCAATTCCCTCAGGACTCTGGGATGCATCTCATCATCTCCCACAGACTTGTGCTCACAGCCCTTACTCACAGAACATACTTCATACGTGACCTTGGGAGAACCTGGTGCAAAACCTGGGAAAGTTCCTGACTCAGAGCTCCTTGTTGGCATCTTCCTGGTAAGGTTCACACACAGGGGTGATACAGAAGTTCTTTAGTAGTAAATGCTGCCCAACATTTAGATGACATTTCCAAAGCTGACTCTCAGAAAAGAATTTGTCATTTTGGCCTTTGTGTCCTAAGTTCCCACAGGTACAGCAGTCATTTTGATGGAAGAGCAGTACAGAGTAGGTATTCATGGGCTTAATAAAAGTACCAAGTGACCAAATGCAGTGCACCAGAAAAACAAGATCAGTATCTGGTGGACACCTTTACCCAGCCTCCAGCCTGGTGAAGCCA